GTGTGTGTGTGTGTTGCAGTATGACATTTTTCTGCCCTCTGGACTGTGGAGGTTATTTGTACTTGTTATTTTCAGGACATCACATCGATTATTCACAGAAACATTTCCTGATAAATAACTTTTCATCTTAAAATCATCTTCATTTACATGTGATTGGTTATCTCTATGGTTTGTGGAAAATGCAGTGCAAGTATTACCCAAACTGCTTTATTTTTGTCTGAGTAACGTTTATATTTAGTCATCTTGTTAAAGATGAATTCAGGACTGTTACTGTCATGTTTCGAAATATTTAGTGATTGTTTCGTTTCTGATCCAGAAAGGGGGGCAATTTTGCAACTAATGCAAGAAGTGATATAATTAAACATGTAAGACAAAACTGAGTTTTCTCAGCTTTTGTTACCAAGCTTAAATAGGAAGCTGTACCAAGGTACGACCCAGTGTTGTCTACACATACAGACAAAAGTACAACTTTTCAAAGAACCAAGTTTAAAATTAATCTTTATTGTATCTTTATTTGAAAATAGAAAAAAATCACATAGTTTGACAGGCATGAAATAGTATTTTTGCACCAATAAGGTGATTCCCAAGAGCTATTAGCCCAAAGCCTATCCTTATCTCAGCGTGGAGTGATGAATCCAAATTTGAAATAAATTTTATCAACATTTACAACGAAGATCAGGAGAGAAATATGACGAGGAGTGTTTACAGCCAACTGTAAAGCAGGGAGGAGGCTCTGTCATAAGAGATGAGATAAAATGAGACTTCATTGATCACATTTGTACGTTACATCCACTCAGGCACAGAAAGCAGAAGGAAAAATACCAAAAATTGCCCATTTTCCTGACAAAATCTCAAGATTTTTCTGTCAGAGTGGAACTACTGCAGGTAACATCTGAGTGTAATTCACATGCTGACATGCCCCTCGAGTGCTTAGGCGTAGTGCTAGATCACAGATAACACACTCAAACTTTCACTCACCAAACTGGGACACAGAATTCTTGGACAGTCTGCACAGTTAAAAACAAAGTTATAACATTTGTCCGATTTCTGCTTTAAAATGCTGGAAGGAGGCACCGACACTACAAATATGCTTGAGGGGTCCAGTGGCACCAATTAGCCCAGGTGATGCATGCAAGCAGAGCCTGTGGCAGCACACCTATCAACCAAAGCTTTCTGAACAGGCGAGTCCCAAACACGTAGTTTTTTGGAGGGGCGGGGCCTTCTTTGCACTTTGTGGTTTGATTTGTCAGCCATACTGGCTTCATGGTTTCGTTATTCCCCTCCAGACAAATGTAATTTAAAATGATCACATATTTCTGTGTGTTTACAATGATGTACACTGAACATACAGCAGGAGACACTGTTTCCACAAACCATAATGACAAAAACATTGATAGGATAATGTGGCATTAATCTGCCAGTTTAATAATTACTCGGTAACACAGTCCAGAGAGACAGTTGCTTCATCATCCATCATCCACCCTACCTGACCATTACCCTCCCTCCTCCCCTTCCTTCAGCCCCATCAGCCCCACCCCAGGAAGTACATTTGCTCAGCCTCAGTTCCACCAGCGTCGAGGTGAGGTGGGTGGCCCCGCCCACAGACAGCCAGCACGGTGAGATTGTTGGCTACTCCCTGGCCTACCAAGCACTCACGGGAGAGGACCAGAAACGCCACCAGGTGTCAGGGATTGGTCCTGATATCACCAGCTACATTTTGGAGGACCTGGAGAAGTGGACGGAGTATTTGGTGTGGGTGAGGGCTCACACAGATGTTGGGCCAGGTCCAGAGAGCTCTGCAGCTAAAGTCAGAACCAAGGAAGATGGTATGTTGATGGTTTCATGGGAAACATTCAAACTAACTGTCCAATTCTTTTGTATTCATTTCCTGCTGCTGCAGTTTAGTCTTACAAACACTCACCAAAGTGTGCATAAGCTCAGTGTATATGCATGGCTCAAATACAGAATACAGCACCGGGTCTTCAGACGCTTGGAGGGTTTGGAGTAAACTGGTTAATTTGTAAATGAATAAAAATCAGTCTGCAAAACATCAGATTGATGGACTGGATTAAGAGTCCGGTGTAGGATTTGTAATCTTGTTGATTCCACTAATACGCACGGCTACCCTGCACAGTGCCAACAGTTGGTGCCAAGTCATGAAGCTGTGCAGTCTGTGGTGGAGCATCATGTAGTCTTCATATACGGCACTTAAGCTCTGGTTTTGACATAAATCCAAAAGTAGTTTTATGGTTCTTCAGACATCACCTCAGGAACAGGAGATCAAACATTTCAGCCAACTTAGTCCAAGCCTATTTAAACATGGAGTTTTCACTGTCTCAGGTTTCAGTGTGTAATGTTGCATTAGTTATATGTTCACTCAAGAAAAAAAACAATCTTTAAGCCTGAGTCCCTGTTTGCTAAAGAAGGTTGTACAACCTGTAGGCACAGATTGGAAACCCCATGAAAAACCTGCGTGTGGAACACAGTTTCTACAGCGACAGGACAGACATACACACAGCTCTTTATTGAACCTGGAGTAACTCAGTGTTTAATCTGTTAGGTCAGAGACTTTTGATTTACACCTGAAAAAAACCTTGTGCTCTTTGTGGGAGAATTTTCAAAATAAATTTAGCTTCCTTATCTGTACTGCTAGTGCAAGTAAGCTCTAATAAATGCAGCAGACAAGAAGTGCAACAGAAATCGCAACCGTGTAGTCGTGTTTATATCAGGTGGTTTCTGCAGCAAATGTCAACAGTCTTTGTAAAACACCATCACTTGTGTTTTTATAACAGATATGGCGGCGACCCTTTTTTTTTCAGTTCAATTTCTTATATCATGAATAAAACGCATGATTATTTTCAGGTCTTTGGGAGAATGCCGAGCTCAGTCAGCAGTCTGTACAGAGCAGTATACAGACCTGCAGTAGGTACATGCATGCACAGAAAATAAAGCTAAGGTACAGAGGAGTGGGCCTTTTTGCTTATGGTCTGCAGATGAGATGATACCAGACCCAGAAAAGTTTTAGGAATTAAAATATCACAGTAGTTGTGTCTGCATGACACAGTATGTCATACCTGAGTATTCAGCACGCATTCTGAGCAAAGCGGGTCAAGGTTAGTCATGACTCTCACTGCACCATGATAGACGTAATCATCAAGACAGAAGCTTTTCCTTATTTCACTACATTTTGTGAGTCTGTTTTGTGAGACTTTAGCTGCCACTAAGCTCCTGCCTGTCATGCTCTGCCAGGCTGCGTGTCCCTTTTCCCAGCGTGATGACATGGTGTGCTGCACTGCTAGGCCAAGGTGTCTGGAGAGTTGCCTGAGTGGCAACATAGCATGCTCTTTCCCTGTTGTTAGTCACATGGCAGGACTGAAGCACAAGCTAAATAGACACTATGATTCAGTCCGGAGGGATACTCTGCTATTCAGCAGCATCCGTTTGCTATTACCTTCACTGCTGAAGATGAGTCCAAATGCAGCACAGCCCAGTGCTCACGTCTCTAAGACACATGGCATTACAACAAATCCTTACAAGAGGATTCTCTTCTTTTTTGTGCAGGCACAATTGGCCGTATCATGACCAATGAGAGCAAAGAGTAATGGACTCTTTTCTGGAACCACTCAAGGAAATCAAAGCATCAAAGTTTAAGTCCTGTGCAATATCACCGAGGCTCAGCAAGTATAGCAGCATGGTGGCCTCTCCTCTGTTAAAGCTTGCAGTTCTGAGCCAGCTCAGGTCTTGTACTGCCTAAGAATGACCTCCAGCTCTGCCTTTACCACTATTAGATTTAGTTTTTATATGTATATATCAGGGCTGCAACGATACACAAAATTCACGGTTCAGTTCGATACTTTGGTGTCACAGTTCGATATTTTTTCGATACAAAAAATGTTCATGCTGTTTTAATTTGTCATTTATCAAAATTATAAATATATATTTTCACTCAAAAGTACAGTTTTTAAATTTAATGTTGCTGAAACAACAAAGTAATAAAAAAATAAATCTGGAGAACCCTCATCTTTGGAAAAGAGAGTTTATTACAGAGAAATGGCTCTTTCCAAAATAAAAGCTCTACTATACGCTTCTTCTGGGCTATATTCTCAGCAGCATATTAAACATATCAGGTCCCCATAAGGAGAATCCTGTGCTAACGGCTGTCTAAATGACTCGGGTAAAGTTTGTAGCATGCGTGCTTGTTGTTTTTGTTTGCTTCCACTTGTCTTTGCACGAGGATGCTGTCGGAGTAAATGTGCAGTCATATTCGTTGTGTTCCCACTAGTGCTGTCAGCCTTAATCTGAAATGACGTTAACGCCATAACTCGGCAAATCTCCGCTAACGAGCTATTGTTCGATACATATGCGTACCGAACCGAAAGCTCTGTATCGAACGGTTCAATATCAATACGAGTGTCGTTGCACCCCTAATACATACATATATATATGTATATGTGAATATGTATATGTGTATGTATGTATGTATGGAAATAAAATTTATGCCACTGAAATATTTAGAGCGTTTCTAAAAGGACATAAAAACTCTGCAGTTAATCCTCCTAAAACTAAAACTCCTTTTAATCGGTTTTACTCAAACCTGACGATGAATCTAAAACTAACCCCTCTTCTTTCAAACCTGCCCAACAGTTTCCAGTTACCTGATTTAAACAGAATATTTTAGTACTTGCCAAAAGCCAACAGTGACCTTATGACCAGTGTTTTTGTTTGTTTGTTTTCCTGGATGGCATTTCTTTATGGGTGAAACCTCAAAGAGACAAATCTAAATAGTGTTAGAAGCACAGTTTCCTTCCTCACACCACTAACCCTCTCCATCTGCTGCCCTTCTCTCTCTCCTGGCGTCTCTCATCACTCTTTATTTCTGAACACCCACTGAATTTGAATCTCACACTCTTTTCATCTCTTTCCATCTCTCTGCACCCCATTTGACTTTGAGCTCTCATTGCATTTCTCCAGCATCTGTCCATTCTCCACACAGTGTACGCTTTCTCCCACGAATCCTCCTTCCAGCTCTTATCCGTGTCAGCCCGAGTAACAAAAAACATTCTCGTTTAGCTCCCTGACATAGTCGCAGCGTACGCTGAACTTTCCTGGCTTACTGTAATTTCCTTTAATAATCTGCAATAAAGGAAACACTCAAATTTAAAGAGAATAACAATTTTTCTTCTTAGATATTATAATTATTCTGATATGAGCACAGAGGAGCCGTAGCAGAGTTTTGTCAGACAGGCATTGGATCTCTTTTACAGATTTCATTAGACTGTGATTGGGACTTTGCTCACTGGGACACGTCAAAGTTATACTCGGCTTCCCTGATGCCCCGAGACAAAGGACCTGTTCTGTGAGCTTATTCTCCTGCTTGTGTTGGTTTTAATAGGACACAAATCAGAAATAAATGTAGCCAGCCATTGCTCAGTCTAAAGGCAAAGACTGCAGTTGTGTCGACCCATGGTGTCATTAATGTGACGCAGTTATAGTAAGAGTGTGATAGGACTCCAACAAAACCCACCGTACATCAGAACTGCTCAAAACAGCCTGCTTTGGATTTAGAGATTGTGTATAAATGTTGCATGAATTTAAGAGTCTGTATTCATTTATTGATGGAAGTTTATTTTGGGATCTCTCCTAAACAGAAATCTATTTTGTTTTTGAGTAATCTTAATTTTTTTTTAAAAAGTGTTTATTTTGTTTTGTTTTTTAGTCACAGTCCTGTTGATTTGCTTTGGTTGAAGGCCCAAAGCTCTTTGGTTTGTACGAAGCTTAGGGAACACAGAACAAATCATCCAGTGAAAGCAAAGGCAAAGCTAGACAGTAACCACAGACACCTGCATGTGGTCTGTCCCTCTGCTCTGCCTCTAATGCGTCCGATAGTTTAAGAGCACGACTGATACCTGGTGCACATTTCTGGTGCCAACAGGATCTCACAGCTGCGACTGATGCCTTGGGATGAAAATGTGCTGATTTGACATTTTAAAGCAAACTAACAGCCATTATCATTTTCCCCTTTCTCCTGCAGGAAATGCAACATAACTGTCCCAGCTTTTGCTTTCATGTCCACTGTTCTCTGCTGGTCCTGAAAAGCATTTCTGTTCTGCTCTGCACTGCTTAAACTCTGCTTAGTTTATCTTTAGGTACTTTAGAGATTGTTGGTCTTTCGTGTAGCTGTTTTCCATCACTTCACCTATTTTATTACAGTGGGACACTGTAATACTGCAGAGAACTTTAAAGATAAGTCAGGATATCACGGCCTTGATTAGCCACCGTGGAGCACTTCAATTTAAATTTGATGTTGAGGTGAGAGGGCAACGTTTCAAGGAGTCGATCTGGCTGCTTGTTTTTCCGCCATGCTGAGAAATTCACTATGCACAACAAATCAAATGTTTTGTTCAATGATTGCTACTTGCTCACCTTGTTATACTCCATGATTATCCATCAAAAACTCCATGAGACAAAACAGCATGTATGTGAACGAGAACTTTAAAAGTTTTGATGATTATTTTTAAAATTGCAGAAATAAGAACAGTTTGTATGTTTGTGACCCAACTAAACGAAAGTAAACTTTCCAACAATATCTGTTTGAAGAATAAAGTTTTAATTCAGTGTTCAGCTCTTGTGCTGATAGAAGATTACTTTGTCACATACGGGATCTTTCATGTGCTCAAAGAGAAAGCAGTGACGCTGGATCCCCTTCTTAACAACGTTTAATATTTACACGCTCAGCTAGCTTCTAAAGATGTGAGTAAATGCTAATAAATCCAAACTGCATGCAGAGGTCGTTCAGGTTGTGGATTTGTTTAATCTGATGTGTGCAGAAGGAAGTGAGCACACAGAGTGGACCCAGTGAGAGTGATACAGAGGAGACAATTAGTGGCTGCAGTAGCTTTGACAGCCGCTGCAGAGAACCCCCAGCAGCCACAGGCACAAGATCCGGCTTCACGCTGTCAGTCAGGATGGCCCTACAAGTTTAAAACCAGCATGAAGTGTGTGAGTCTCACAGTCTGCAGTAAGCATCTACATGTTATAGTGGGAATTAAAGATAAGTAAACCCGTGTCCACACTCACGGCACATTTAGCTTTAGTGAAATCATAAAAACTCCAGCAGACAAAGAGGCCTTTGTAAAGTGTAAGCCAGGCAAGCAGGAGGACGTATGCAGACAGGACGTGGAGCGATAAAATCAATCTGAAGAACGGCATGTCCTGATTTATTGTCGGAAAATCTTCTCCAGGCCACCGAAACCCAACGTTCATCCTCTCCAGGTTGGTTTTTCACTTCTGTTGGCTTGTTGACGTTGATTCGACACTAACGGCTTTTTGCCTGCTTACAACCACTTTTTTCATTAGCCACTCTTTTTCTGCCAAAAAGGAGATGCAAGAAAACTTGGTAAATGGACTGGTTCTTATAGAGCGCTTTTCTACTCTTCTGAACACTCAAAGCGCTTTACACAACTTGTGCATTCACCCATTCACACAAGCACATTGTTCTAGGTGCTTTTCTAAGTAACATTCACACACATTCACACTCCGATGGATGCATCGGAGAGCAATTTGGGGTTTATTTTGTCCCAAGGATATTTGGCATGCAGACTAGGGGAAGCCAGAAATCGAACCACCAACCTTCCGATCAGTAGATGACCTGCTGTACCGCCTGAGCTACAGCCACCCGAAAGCAGAGTATATGCAAGTAGGGAAGATGTGCAGCAAATGTCACATAGGATTCAAACCTGTGCTAGTAGATCTCACAGCAGCTGCTCTTCCCATTGAGCCAAACCAGCTCTGGTTGGTTTAGTAGATTACTTGAATAATTAAAACACTTTGTCTTTATTGGGCTGTTGCATGGCCGCTATCAAAGTAAATGTGGTTACCACAGAATGAATATGAAACACCTGCTCTTACGTTTTCAGGCCTCAGCTAAATAATGAGCAAACAGAAAAGCCCATTCCTGAAAAAGAAAAGAAATCTCTTCAGTTTGTGTTATTTCTGTTTGCTCAGATTAGCATCAGATTAGCATCAGGCATGCATTAGAAAACAAATGAACTGTAGCAGCTACATGCACTTCCTCCCATGACCACAGGAGGTTGTTTCCACAAACAGTGACGTTTTAGTCAGAAATCGACCACCGTTATTGCTTTTCAGCTGAGGTTGGCTTTATTTTAATCCATGGCAGCAGATGGACTTCAAAGCTGTGTTTAGTCTGCTTTAGGATCCCGTTGTCTGTTACATGCTCATTTTGTTCTTCTTCTTCACTGGCTTTTGCTTTTGCAGTTAACACTGTGGTTTATTGACGTTTCTCCTCCAAAGCGTGAAGCTTGACTCTGGAAGGTCTCTGATTTTATAAAAGGTTAAACGATTCTAATTAGTCGAAAGTGCAAAGTGCTGACACCGAGTTGCAGAGCTTTCCTCTGCCTGCTGTGCCGGGTTGATACTTTAATACTTCTGCTTGCTGCTTTAACACTTTTCTCTCCCTGTTTTTCAGTATTTTCCTTTTCTGTTCTCTCTGTGTGAATTCCATTAATATTTGCAGAGCCTCATCTCCTCATTTTTATTGAAGTTAAATTTGTATTCATTTACACCTTCCTGTGAAGCTGACCAAGCATTCCAGAGGAAGCTTCTTAAGCCTATTTTGATATGCAGCAAAGTAGAAAGTGTGTGTGCTCTAAACCCAGCTCCCAGCATCCTCTTGGGGCTCCATGTGACAAGCTTTGATGTGGATAACCTGCAAAGATAGCCAGTGACCTTCACGTATCCTTGCAGCCTCTCCAGGCTGGTAGCTACCTCATCAGGTCAAACTTTGAAGTGGTCCAACTGATGAAGAGAAATGACCCTGGATAGGCCTTACCACACCTTTGTCTTCATCTACATCTGCTGCTGGACATGTGGGCACCATTTAAAATAAACGTAACCCCATGCAACAGTTATTGCAATTTTATTTAAATCAGGGAGGCTCGTTGAGATTAAACTCTTTCACAGAGATGGGAACATGAAGCATTTGCCAGAACAAAGCAGACGGGAAAAAACGGCCCAATAAAGACATGTTCTCCTGTCCCTCAGCATTACAGTCGAGTGGTTTGATGCACCAGTTTCTACAGTGTTGGCTGTTGGCTCAGGAGTGGCAGCAGCAGAAGGCGGTCTGAAGATTGGTTTGGGTTTAGACCTCATTCACAATCACCTGACGACCTCTGGCTGCTAGTGGAAAATGTGTGTTGCTGCTGTTGCAAAGCTAAATGTGGCTGCTGCACTGAAAACCTTCTTGTGGTTTCTCTGGTTGCGTGTAGATTTGTGCAGTATTGGACAAAGGAAGTGGAGAATGTCAAAGTAAACGTTGTGATTTTGAGGGGAAACAGCCTCTATTCCTATTTTGTGTCACACGTTTCAGTGTCACTGCTCCTCTGTGAGTAGTTGATGAATGTTTGCAGACATGCAAACTACAGGTGATGACAGAAGCATGCAGGTAATCATAGAAAACATTTTCGGTGCTACGTGTAGTTTCTTATACCTCTTTGCCTAAAGTGTCACCTAGCAACTCCCAGCAAATCTTAATCGACTGGTCAAGGTTATTCATTTTCCCCTCTGACCGGTGTTTGCCAGGAGATCACAGACCAGTCTCTCAGCCTGTGTGATGTGAGAGTGAAACACTAAAAGCTTACAAAAACACTAGAAAATAGTCTGTTGGGGTTTTCGCTCTAAAAACGAATTGGTTCGTTTTATGAAAATATGGTGGTGTGTGTTAAAATGCGCCCAAACACAGCAGTGAAACCTCCAAAAACGATGTTGGGAGTGACAGCATCACACCCCTCCCCCAAAGCCTCACCAAATCACCAGTGCATTTGCCAAAAATGACTCTCATGAATCACACATAAACAATTCTAACAAAAAGGAAAATAAAAGGAAACAAATTTCTCACTTATTCTTCTTCCCCTCACGAAGCAGTGCCAACAAGTGAATCACATGAAGGCACAAAGAAACAGCAACAAGCTTTTCAGTGAATAATATTCACACTGACAGCGTACCACAGTGAGCAGTGTGAGAAACAACAGGCACTGTGACACTTATCAGGTGTATCTGAACACACAACAAGTCTGTTTGTACTTGTTGAAGGTGAAATCATGCTTCGCAAATCTTTCAGCCGCCAAAACGTTACTGTGGAAATAGTAAAGGCTACAAAGTAAGGCAGAGATATTCAGCTTCTGAGGAACAGATGCTAATACAGTCTCATGAAGACGTGGTTTAATAGTAGCCTACCTATTGAGACGCACAAAATCAAACATTCCACTTTCTAAATGTAATTTGTGTTCTCTCATTTGTTTTCAGTGCCTGGAGCTCCTCCCAGGAAGGTGGAGGTAGAGGCCCTGAACTCTACTGCCCTCAGGGTGAGCTGGAAGCCCCCGCTGTCCGTGAAGCAGCATGGGCAGATCAGAGGATACCAGCTGGTTTACTCCAGGCTAGAGAACGGGGAGCCCCACGGCCAGCCGGTCATCCTGGATGTTAACCTCCCTGAAGCTCAGGTATTCTCACACGGTGTCATTCAGGTTGATGTAACTGGGTGAGACAATGAGTGAGAGCTGAAGACGGGGGAGTTTGGTTCAGATCCCCGAAGTTTATTTGACACAAGTTATTGTTTTAAGGCAGGAAACAATTTTTTGGTCTTTAAACTATTGACTGAAGCAATACACCCATCAGTAACAGGTCGTTTTTTTCACATGCTCTACCTTTGCACAACCAACCGGCTAATAGACACGAGGTGCACGTTTCAGAGTCTGTAATCATCAGAAGCAATTAAGCTGTGAGACTAATATGTATGTGCATGTGTTAATTCCCCGTTATTACTTTATGTTGGCTTGAAAAAAACATCTCCCTCTGCTGGTGCTTCAGATTACTGCAACTTACTGCATCCATGTCCATTTCACGCTTTGCAGAGGCAGAGCGTGAAATGGACACGGCGGACCAGCGTGTGGGTTGCACGTTTTGCCCTCTCATGGCCATTAGACAGAAAACATGTTTAAGTCGTTTCTTTAGTGGCTGAACTTTTAAAGAGCTGGAAACTAAGTAAATCTGCAGAACTGCAAAGCTCCAAAACAGCAGAAGAATATAATGAAATATAGGAGCTATTATTAAAAAAGAAATAAATACTGAAAACTTTTTAATATAATCCAAATGATTTTGAAAGATTTTTAATCATAAATGTTGATTAAAAATGTTTATGAAGCAGGAAGTTTATAAACATAATTTGTGCAAATTATTATTTTAATCTTCTCCTTGAAAAGAAAAAGGATAAACAGGTTACAGCTGTGTGTGGTCTGCAGCCTGCTGTGATGAAAAAGCATCAGATCCCAACATCGGAGCATTTCTAAAATAAGGATGTGCATCCAGTACCTCATCCTGTACCTCCCTTTGTTCCATTAGAATAATTGGATTCGACGTTTCTTTTTTCAGTTTATTTTTATTCCCGTCTCCAGTGGGAAAAAATAACCCCAAATATTAATAATTATTTGGCATCTGACATATTAGATCATCTGCAGAACCAAACATGTGCTTCTTCATATTTTTAATTAGTGTAATATTAGGGAATTTACTTTTCTCTAACCAGAAGCCTCGGTGATGATGATGATGATGAGGAGGAGGAGGCATTTCAGCTGCAGAAAGTCTTTGTTGTGGTAACACTACATGACTTAGTGCTTAGCGAGCTCGACTTTACATAATTCTTTACATAAAGACTGAAATTTATTTACCTTGAAAACACTTTTTCCAAAACATGAAGACAAATTTTTGTCTTTTTACATTATTTGTACTTAAATAACTTGAACATGAGCAAACATGTGTGTGCACGTGCGTCTCAAATGACGGCATGAACACACATAAGAAGAAAAAGATAAGAGCAACACCTCCAAAAGATGCATCACAGAATATCTAAGAAAGCCGACTGCTCGGACAACTGGCATGAAATCACTGCACCAAAGACTGAGAGCAGGTCACAGGGTGGATGTTTAAAAGCTCTCGCTGAGGAGGCGCTGCTCAGTTCCTCTCCTCTCGGCTTGTTTTGTTCTCCTGGAGGAGCGTCTCACCTGATTTCCTTTATACGCAGCATTCCTGTCTTATCTGTGTAAGGCAGGAGGCCTGATAAAGGGCCCGCATCTCACAGCCATCTCCAACCTCTCTTTAAACACACACACACACACACACACACACACACACACACACACACACACACACACACACACACACACACACACACACACACACACACACTTCTCTTTAAGGAACTGTCTTCAAGCCTCATCTGTGATAAGTTTAGTCTCTCCCCCTGGCATCAGTGATGCTGATGAGAATCAACACACGGTGTGTGGAGTGATCCTCCGCACTACACACACACACGCACACGTGCACACACACACACACACACACACAC